TCCGGGACAGGCGGGAATCAAACTCATGTGGAAGCGGCTTTAGATTCTCAGTGCTGTGCTTTAACCCACTGCGCCACCAGGGAGGGCCCAAAAATAAACTTTTAAGTGAATTAAAGATTTACATATAAGATCTGTAATAGTAAAATACATAGAAGAAAACACTTGCAATATGTTCATGATATCAATGATAAAAATACTTTTTGGTGTCTACGTCTATGACAAGGGAATTTAAAACATATTAAACAATTGGGATTAATTCAAGTTAAAAAGCTATCCAGTGAAAGAAAATATAAATTATTAAAAGAGGACACTATTGAATGGGGGAGAAAATATGCAATATATAACTAATAATGGACTAGTATTCAAAATATATTAAAAACTCATGCAATTCAACAGTTAAAATATAGACAACCCAATTAGTAAATGCACAGCAGACATGAATAGACAGGTCACCAAAGAAACTATCCAAGAGGTTCAATGACACATGAGAATGGCACATATTCAAAAGACTTCCATCAAGTGTTGGAGAGGTTGCATGCAAAGGAAAAGGAATTCTACTTACACTCTGATGGGAATGTAAACTGGTGCAACCACTATGGAAAACAGTTTAGCCTAACCCTAAAAAAAAAAGGAAATACAGTATGACTCAGTAATCCCACTTGTAGGCATTTATGCAAAGAATAAGAAACAATCAGCACAAAACCCCACATGTCCTAAGGTGTTCATAAGAAGCATTATCTATAATAGGTAGGTCATGGAAGCAACTTACATGACCATCATTTGGACCAAAAGATGTGGTATATCACGCCATAGAGTATTATAAAATCTTAGGAAAGGATTAAATACCACCATTTTCAGCAAAATGGAGGGATTTTGAGAATTAATGTATAGCGAAGTAAGTTAGAATGATAATGGATGTTTACACAGGAGACAAACTTTATGAAACACTTTAAAAAACCAGTAGACATTAATGAACTTCCTGAGGACTGTGATGTTAAAGGGGAGGATGAAGGGAACGGACAAGGAGATATAAAGGATGATGGGTGAAAAATAAATGTCTATCGGGCCCTCCCTGGTGGCGCAGCGGGTTAAAGCACTGCACTGAGAAGCTAAAGCCACTTCCGCATGAGTTCGATTCCC